CAGAAAGAAAGGAATGATAAGATTAGGGAAGTGTAGACCATTTAGGGATATGAACAAGGCAATTGTAATACAGCTTTGAGAGAGATTGCAATGGAATGAAATGTCCAAAAGGAAAAGAAAAATATGGGGGAAAAAATTGACCCTGTGAGGCATTTTTTGTGTGTTGGGCTTTAACTATTGCTAAGTATTTAAATAGCTTTTTTAATAAAAACAACTGTTGTTTTGAAATATTAAAAGGTCTCTCTCTTTAGGTGGCTGATCGCCTGTTTTCCTCTTTTGGGCAAGATATTTTGGATGCCCTTTATTGGACAGCTACCGAACCTAAGGAGAGAAAAAGAGCTCATATAGGTGTGATTCCTCATTTCTTCATGGCAGTGCTGTATGTCTGTATCCTTTCTTTTTCTCAGGATTAATTGCAGCAATTTGCTTTATTTCACGGGATATTAGGTTAAAGTTTCTCAAAATAAGAATGATTTTAAGACACAATTGTATACAATTATTTTGAGATGTTTCTGGACTTGCTTGAAATTACATATTCATGTTAGTTTTCTGAATACAACTTACAATACTTGATTTAAAAAAAACAACTGTAAAGCTTTTAACTTGCCAAAAAGTGAGTTAAGAGTTGTATTTCTCACGAAGCAGTTGATGACCTTACTAACAACAAAAGTGGAGCAAATGTAAACAAATTCCTGAACTTTTATATGTGGATTCTGAATGAATAGTGACTGTACTTATACTTAAGTATTACACTTAAATCTTTCAATAGTCTTTAGTATTACTATCTTTGGTGTAGCATAATTGCTTTCTTAACTTGAAAATATTAGTTTGAAAAAATATAACTCTTTAACAATTATTTTTGCTCCCCTCCTCCATCTCTAGCTAATTTTTTCTAGTTTGTCACTAGATTAAATATACTCACACGTATTTTTCCTGATGTCGCCTTATGAAGCCTTGTGATACCATGTTGTTGTTTAACTGGGGTGGGTGATGTGAAGTGTCCTCAGAGAAGTTTGTCAGTCTTTTTGGTTTCCAAATTAGGTTATAGAATCAATAAACTTCATAGGCAGAAATTCATATCTTCTTTATGGTAGCGTCTTCTAATGTCAATAGACCAAAGGAGTAGTGTTTTGGTTTTTTTTGTCACATAAAATAAATCAAGACAGGTTTTTTGTGTCTTGTAGATGGGTTCCTAGACTTTTCTTAATTCACCATATAATGACAAATAAAAGAGCTCAATAGATGTTTGTCTTATCAAAAAAGAAAGTGTAGTGTATGCCATTCATTTTTCCCTGTTGAATTTTATGGGTCCACTTGAACCTTTTGCTCAGCTTTCAGATATGAAAGGACCATAGAACTATAGAAGTCTTCTGAGAAGAAGTCTGAGAAGCCTTCTAATCTCTCCCTGTCAGTGAAGTAGGACCACATATACCCAGACTGTCCCTGGCAAGTGTTTGTCTAACCCTGTTCTTCAAAGCCTCAAGTGATGGGAGTCCCCTAACTTACCTTGGAAGCCTATTCCAGTTCTTAATTATCCTTGTAGTTAGAAAGTGTTCCTGAAATGTTGCTGGGGAGGGAAAG